ATGACTTGTAAGCTGCTCTAAGTCCACTTCAGGGTGAGAAGATCGGCATAATGCCATCAATAAATAAATACATAAATAATTCACAGGTTAAAATTGTACAGGGTTTAAAAACACATTAATTATCTTACTTACTTAGGCAATCCCTCGTAGCCTGAGGATGATGGGCCTCCAAGTGTAGTGTCTTGGTGGTGGGTACATAGATAGCTGTGGAGCCTTATTCTTGACCAGCATGTTCATCCACAGTGAGGACATCAGTTTCCAGGTGGAAGGCGGTTTTTCTTGGCATGTTTTTTGGCACGTTCTTCCCTTTTCACCCTCTATTTGTGCCTCTTCAAATTCTACAGCACTGCTGGTCACAGCTGACCTCCAATTAGAGTGCTCAAGAGCGAGGGCTTCCCAGTTCTCAATGTCTGCCACAGTTTTTAAGGTATGCTTTGAGCCCATCTTTAAATCGCTTTTCCTGCCCACCAACATTCCGTTTTCTGTTTTTGAGTTCGGAGTAGAGCAACTGCTTTGGGAGACAGTGGTCAGGCATTCGGACAACGTGGCTGGTCCAGCGGAGTTGATGGTGGAGGACCATTGCTTCAATGCTGCTGGCCTTGCTTCTTCCAGGACGTTGACATTTGTCTGCCTGTATTCCCAAGAGATTGGCAGGATTTTTCGGAGGCAGCACCAATGGAATTGTTCCAGGAGTTGCGTATGATGCCTATAGACAGTCCACGTTTCGCAGACATATAGCAGGATTGGGAGGACAATGGCTTTATAAACAAGCAGCTTGGCCCCCCTACGGATGTCCCGGTTCTCAAACACTTTCTGCTTCATTTGGAAAAATGAATACAATTCATTCTGAATACAATTCCGAATACAATTATCAATTAAACCATAAAAAACATGGCATCATTTAACGTTAAAACATGGAACATATCAATATAAACCTTTTTTTTATATTTGTCGTGTCAGGGCAACCAGACAATTATATTACATTTCTAACAGAAACAAAGCAAACAAACAGACAAAATACAACATTTGTGAGTTTGGTAGTTGATTAAATGTCCTTTGACCAGTATCTGGCCACTTGGAGTGCTTCTGGTGTTGCTGCAAGAGGTCCTCCATTGTGCATGTGGCAGGGCTCAGGTTGCATTGCAGCAGGTGGTCAGTGGTTTGCTCCTCTCCACACTCGCATGTCGTGGATTCCACTTTGTAGCCCCATTTCTTGAGGTTGGCTCTGCATCTCGTGGTGCCAGAGCGCAGTCTGTTCAGCGCCTTCCAAGTTGCCCAGTCTTCTGTGTGCCCAGGGGGGAGTCTCTCATTTGGTATCAGCCATTGGTTGAGGTTCTGGGTTTGAGCCTGCCACTTTTGGACTCTCGCTTGCTGAGGTGTTCCAGCGAGTGTCTCTGTAGATCTTAGAAAACTATTTCTAGATTTAAGTAATTGACATGCTGGCTGATACCCAAACAGGGGATGAGCTGGAGATGTCTCTGCCTTGGTCCTTTCATTATTGGCTGCTACTTCCCGGCGGATGTCAGGTGGTGCAATACCGGCTAAGCAGTGTAATTTCTCCAGTGGTGTAGGGCGCAGACACCCCCAGGTGGTGCAATACCGGCTAAGCAGTGTAATTTCTCCAGTGGTGAAATATAAACCTTTTTAATATAAACCTTAAAAATCACATAATCCATCCATTGTCCAGGCTGTTATGTTTATTGAACATAATCTCTGATCATTCCTTATACTGCTTACTGCCCAAAGTCTTGGTCCCATAGCTAAGTTTTTGCTTTTCTTATGAAGGACAGGAGGGAGGGTGCTGATCTAATTTCATTGGGGAGGGAGTTCTATAGCCAAGGGGCCACCACCAGGAAGGCCCTGTGTCTCAACCTCACCAATTGCACTTGGGAGGGAGGTGGAACCAAGAGCAGGGCCTCCCCAGATGATCTTAAACTCTGAAATGGTTCATAGAGGGAGATACTTCACTCTTCACTTCACTTCACTTTATTTCTTAATTAGTCGCTCTCCACCAAGGTGCTTTGATACGTTTGGGCAGGTAAGCTGGGCTGGAACCATTTAGGGCTTTATAGGCTAAAGCCAGCACTTCGAATTGTGCTCGGTAGCAGATTGGCGTAACGGGGGTTGTATGCACCCTGTACTCTCTCCAATGAGTAATCTGGCTGTCGCCGATTGGACCAATTGAAGCTTCCAAACAGTCTTTAAAGTCAATCCCACGTAGAGCGCATTGCAATAGTCTTTATGGGATGTAACCAGAGCATGGACTACTGTGGCCAAGTTAGACTTCCCAATGTATGGGCGCAACTGGCATACAAGCTTTAATTGTGCAAAAGCTTCCCAAGCCCTATGAGGAGCAGCTTAAAGAGCTGGGCATGTTTAGCCCGAAGAAGAGAAGGCTGGGAGGAGACATGATTGCTATGTATAAATATGTGAGAGGAAGTCATAGAGAGTAGGGAGCAAGCTTGTTTTCTCTACCCTGGAGACTAGGACACAATGGAGCAATGGCTTCAAACTACAAGAAAGAATATTCCACCTGAACGTTAGGAAGAACTTCCTGACTGTGAGAGAGAACTGTTCAGCAGTGGAACTCTCTCTCTGCTCCAGAGTGTGATGGAGGCTCCTCCTTTGAAGGCGTTTAAGCAGAGGCTGGATGGCCATCTGCCAGGGGTGCTTTGAATGCTATTTTCCTGCTTCTTGGCAGAATGGGGTGGGACTGGATGGCCCATGAGGTCTCTTCCAACTCTATGATTTGCTAAAGCAGTACTTGGATACAACCCAAAAAATGACAGAATGATCTCAATTCGAGTGCAAGGAAAGCCTTTCAACATTACAGTGATCCAAATATATCCCCCAACCACAGCTGCTGAAGAAGCAGAAGTAGATCAGTTCTATGAGGATCTGCAGGACCTACTGGATAATACACCAAAAAGAGACATTATTTTCATTACAGGAGACTGGAATGCCAAGGTGGGAAGTCAAATGACAACAGGGATCACAGGCAAGCATGGTCTGGGAGAACAAAATGAAGCGGGACGCAGGCTGATAGAATTTTGCCAGGAAAACTCGCTGTGTATAACGAATACTCTCTTCCAACAACCTAAAAGACGGCTTTATACATGGACCTCACCAGATGGTCAACACCGAAATCAGATTGACTACATCCTTTGCAGCCAAAGGTGGCGGACATCCATCCAGTCGGTGAAAACAAGACCTGGGGCTGACTGTAGCTCAGACCACGAACTTCTTATTGCCCAATTTAGAATAAAACTAAAGAGATCAGGGAAAATACACAGACCAGTTAGATATGATCTCACTAACATTCCTAGCGAATATACAGTGGAAGTGAATAACAGATTTGAAGGACTAGATTTAGTAAACAGAGTCCCAGAAGAACTATGGACAGAAGTCCGCGACATTGTTCAGGAGGCGGCAACAAAGTACGTCCCAAAGAAAAAGAAAACCAAGAAGGCAAAATGGTTGTCTGCTGAGACACTGGAAGTAGCCCAAGAAAGGAGGAAAGCAAAAGGAAACAGTGATAAGGGGAGATGTGCCCAGTTAAATGCACAATTCCAGAGGTTAGCCAGAAGAGATAAGGAACTATTTTTAAACAAGCAATGTATGGAAGTGGAAGAAGACAACAGAATAGGAAGGACAAGAGACCTCTTCCAGAAAATTAGAAACATTGGAGGTAAATTTCAGGCAAAAATTGGTATGATAAGAAACAAAGATGGCAGGGACCTAACAGAAACTGAAGAGATCAAGAGAAGGTGGCGAGACTATACAGAAGATCTGTATAGGAAGGATAATAATATTGAGGATAGTTTTGACGGTGTGGTGAATGAATTAGAACCAGACATCCTGAGGAGTGAGGTTGAATGGTCCTTAAGAAGCATTGCTAACAACAAGGCAGCAGGAGACGACGGGATCCCAGCTGAACTGTTTAAAATCTTAAAAGATGATGCTGTCAAGGTGATGCATGCCATATGCCAGCAAATATGGAAAACACAAGAATGTCCATCAGACTGGAAAAAATCAACTTATATCCCCATACCAAAAAAGGGAAATGCGAAAGACTGCTCAAACTTCCGTACAGTGGCCCTTATTTCTCATGCCAGTAAGGTAATGCTCAAGATCCTGCAAGGAAGACTCCAGCAATACATGGAGCGAGAGTTGCCAGATGTACAAGCTGGGTTTAGTAAAGGCAGAGGAACGAGAGACCAAATTGTCAATATCTGCTGGATAATGGAGAAAGGCAAGGAGTTTCAGAAAAACATCTATTTCTGTTTTATTGACTATTCTAAAGCCTTTGACTGTGTGGATCATAATAAATTGTGGCAAGTTCTTGGTGGGATGGGCATCCCAAGCCCCCTTCCCTCTCTCCTGAGGAATCTGTCCAAGGACCAAGTAGCAACAGTCAGAACTGACCACGGAACAACAGACTGGTTCAAGATTGGGAAAGGCGTACGGCAAGGCTGCATCCTCTCACCCAACCTTTTTAACTTGTATGCAGAACACATCATGCGATGTGCGGGGCTTGATGAATGCAAGGCTGGGGTGAAAATTGCTGGAAGAAACATTAACAACCTCAGATATGCAGATGACACCACCCTGATGGCCGAAAGCGAGGAGGAGCTGAGAAGCCTTCTAATCAAGGTGAAAGAAGAAAGCGCAAAAGCCGGGTTGCAGCTAAACGTCAAAAAAACCAAGATTATGGCAACAAGAATGATTGACAACTGGAAAATAGAAGGAGAAACC